TGACAGTCAGTCCATCAGACAGTCAGTCCATCAGACAGTCAGTCCATCAGACAGTCAGTCCATCAGACAGTCAGTCCATCAGACAGTCAGTCCATCAGACAGTCAGTCCATCAGACAGTCAGTCCATCAGACAGTCAGTCCATCAGACAGTCAGTCCATCAGACAGACAGTCCATCAGACAGTTAGTTAAGCAGTAAGGTAGACAGTTAGTCAGACAGTCAGTCCATCAGACAGACAGTCCATCAGACAGTCAGTTAAGCAGTAAGGTAGACAGTTAGTCAGACAGACAGTCCATCAGACAGTCAGTTAAACTGTAAGTCAGTTAAAAAGTAAGTCAGACAATCAGCCAATCAGTCAGACACTCAAAATATCAGACAGATCGTCGCAAAGACAAGCACTGAGAGTCAAACCGTCACATAATCAGACGGACAGACATACTTAACAACGAAAGTAGCAACTGATCTCAACAAGAGTTTCAGCGACCGCTCTCTTTCCAAATACAGAGATGTCTTTCTTGGGGCATTTAACCCTATAACTCACTGGATCTATTTCATAATTCCCTCTGCTACTTGGCTTATATTCCGTGGTAAAAAAGGGACGGGAGTGAAGTGATATTTTGAGATCATTCCACTAGTTGACAAGATCACTTGTTTGGTGAAAAATGTATTGAGATTTTGAGAAGTTACACGTTTAACATATATCTTCAATATGCGATTAAAAACTACTGTGTGAGTTGAAGACTAAAAGCACAAAATTCGAATTGTTTTTTCCCAAAGACAACAACAACACGGAAAGAAACGAGTAACCCGCCTTTACTTTCCTTTATTCAGGTATTCCGAGGGAATCGCGATCATTACTCTATCAAAGAAAACAGTTTTGACCCGCCTTTCCGATCCAGGTTTATCCGCGTGTACGCGCGTACCTGGGTCAACCACATTTCCATGAGACTCGAGTTCTACGGAGGAAAAGCTTGTAAGTATTATGATCCATGGTAAAGCCATGTGTTCCTGGCCAATCATTTCAATAAGTTTTCAGCTTTCAGCACCAAATCATTGAAAAGCCAACCAAGTGATATTTTTTTGGTAGTGCGTCTTTGTTGTGACAGATGGCTTAAACATTAGAGGTTAAACGTTATTTCAATTATGTTGTCTCATTAAAGTAGCGGGTGCTTCAGAAACAACTAGCTGGTGAAAATGGCGGACACAGGAGATATTCGGCCTTGATTTAGGCCCTGACGGTAAATACTTAACTTCATTGAAGACTCCACGTAACCAACTCAGTTTTTTTTTTCTCTCTCGCTTTTTCCACAGCGAGAAGAGATCTGCCTTTGGGTATTGAGGACGATAAGATCCAAGATCGTTACATAACAGCGTCCACCGAGTGGAACACATATCACGGTGCACGCTTTGGACGACTTAACACTGTGGCACGAGGCAAGAACAAAGGAGCGTGGTCTGCGAAAAGAAACAACAGACGCCAGTGGATAATGGTAAGTTTTACCAAGCCCGTCTTAGTTCGCTCTCAAAGGATGTTTTATACCATTGACTTGAACAGAGGAAAAGCCTTAAAGTCTCGTTTAACTTTTTAACCACCAAGAGTGACCTGCCTTCAATTTCTCACCACGGTATCACTGCTGAATCAAACAGTAAAGTCATGAGAATAAAGGAAATGATCACCAAACTGTAGAAACTCTTGATTTTTAAACAAATTCTCCTTTTTCATATCATAGGAGTTGCAGAAAAAAATTGAAGAATTTGCATATTGATGATAAGATGTAAAGGGTTTAGATACTAGACACTCGTCTGGTACTTTCTGTTCCTGATGTTAACTCGGTCGAATAGGCAATTTACGAATTACTTTTGGCCTCTTTTTCAAAACGAGGCCTAGTGCTCAACCATTCTTGTGAAAATTAGTTTAATTTGCATGTGAATGAAAACTTATAATCATATGAAAGGATGAGCACCAGGACTCGTTTTGAAAATGAGGCCAAGGGTAATTCGGAAATGGGTAATAATTCTATCATTTCTTTGATTAGAATTCGGACGCTTTTCGTTGGTGAGAGCTGCTTAGCCAGATCTGCCTGTAGAAAGAGAATTCCTATATTGACCAGAACTCTCCGGAAAAAAAGTTAATTGCTAAATTTTATTCGCTCTTCTGATATTATCAGGAAACACTTTCTCTCAGCTGACCGCCGAGTTGAAACTAATGACCAGTCTTAAAGCAATTTTCTCAAGTTTTTTTCTTCTTCGTCTTCTCAGGTGGAACTCAAAAAGCTCACTGTTGTCAAGCGAATCCTAACACAGGGTCGACAAGATTTGAACCAATGGGTGACAAGTTATACAGTGACGTACAGCCGAAATGGAAACACCTACCGACCTTACACTAGACGGGGACGAATTCAGGTATAATTTCTTACTAAAGTAGACAAAATTAAAAGAAATAGTACCCAGACAAATTGCATGTCTGACGATGAAAACTGGAATAGTTTACCCTCTTTATTCAACGATATAAGAAGCGGACTGGCACATTTTCTCGGTGGAACGTCCAATGTAAGAAATTCTAAGCTTTAGTGATTTGCCTTGCTTTGTTTGAAATATGCCAGTGCGTAATTTGCCTTTCAGTGCTATGGCATCGTAAATATCCAGAAAAACGAAGTAGCAACCAATTGAAAAAATAACAATAATAAAAATTAAAAAGACCTCGACAAATGTCCTACCTTAGTTATTAATACTACCGACAGCAACTTTTACTACTCAATTTCATTACACACATAGTCCAAACAAGAAGAAATGTCACACTATCATTTGTTTTCTTGTCTCCAGGTCTTCCCGGCCAACAATGACCGCAACAGCATAGTGGCACACGTTCTAACACCTCATATCTACGCGCGATATGTGAAAATCAAGCCTCGCTCATGGTTCAGGCATATCTCCATGAGATTCGAGCTTTACGGAGAGAGAAGACGTGAGTTTATTCAGCCAGTGTTGCTTTGTGATAAAATTCATTTTCATTACAATTATATTATACTGACCCCTTCTCAAAATAAACCATTTCTTTCTGGGCAAACGGTAATTTCCATGTATTGTTTCGTTTAATTTTCAGCTGAAAGAAAGCGACCGGTTGTTCCACCCACCAAACGACCCAGACTCCCGCCCAGGCCTCCTATCAAGCCTCCCGTCCGTCCGCCGATCAAACCGCAGGGTAAGGTTGATCTAGCTCAGAGGAGTCGCGCTCTTTGCTTCTCTTAAATCCTATACTTTTCAACTTTGTCGTTTTTCATCTTTCTTAATCGTCTTCATCCTTCAACGTTACTTCACATTTTGGTCTCTTCTCTTCTGTAAGGAATAATTTTTACTCGGCAAATTAAACGATTCACAGTGACCCCATCAGTAAAACATCCTCTTAACACTTTACACCCTAACATCAGTATGCATATTCTCCATACTGTTCTCTATGCTTTTTCTAAGGTCATGACGAGGAGAATTTGTTTAACAATCAAGAGCTTCTTTAGTTGGTGATCATTTCATTTATTCCCCTGACCTTAATGTTTTATTCAGGGTGATATTGTAAGGAGAATTTAGATGCTAGTCACTCTTAGGGCGCAAAGGGTTATCAGCTCTAAGGTGTTGGGGTGAAATCTCCTATAACATGGAATTTAAAGCATGTTATGTAAAATCGAAGAGAGGGACTTCAACGATGATATTACATCAGTCCGTTGCTTTTAGACTCACTTACTTTATTATCGTACCCAGCTCCAATCAAGAGCTGCCCAGTCACATTGGATCTCGCCTTTGTGGTGGACGCGTCAAATCAAGTTTCCCGCGCAAACTTCCAGCTTGAGAAAGCATTTGTCAAGGCTGTATCCAGTAAATTCACCATCTCTAAACACCAGTCTCACATCGGTCTTATCACCTACGCCAACCTGCCATCACTGAGGATGAGGTTCAGACAGTTCAACACCTTATTTGGTATGTCTTAGTTTTGATACTCTGCATGTGAATAAATTCAATTTGTCACTGATATTTGTGTGGGTCTCTATATAACTTCGCCAACTTTCAAAATGTTCTACGCTTTCCTTTAGAAAGAAACGGTGTTCACCGTACGAAATAACCTCATTTTATAGACCCCTTATGTTATAAATTTGGAATTAGGCGGTTATTTTTCGGTAGGTGTAATGTTATGCACGAGTTCTGCTGAAATAAGATCGAGTCGATTCTCTCCTACAGCTTGTTTTTTTTTTTACACTGATATAAATGTGTGCCTTTAAGGTTACCGTGCACCTTCAGGGTGAACGGTAACCTTGTCTCGCGTGCAAGTGATGTAGCGCGTCCGGTTTAAACTGTAGATATCCGGCGAAGCCCCTATATCAAATTGAAGCTTATAGGACTGGCTATCAGCTGACTATACCAAAAATCTTGAAAAAATGAATTGTCGAATTTTTCACGACTTCTAAATGCGAGCGCCCGAATCACCTTTTAAGAGCTACAAGTCAAAGGGAATTTGTTCGATTGCTCTCAAATTTTGACAGTAGCTAGTTTTACATATAAACAACAAAAA